ACTATCAACATTATGCTAGTTGAAACTAAGTTTGCAGTCATCTACACAACATCTTTCATTCACATGTACATATCCAAAGAGCAAAACCAAACCTGAACTGCAGCTCCAAGAGCAACAACTTCATCTGGATTGACAGTGACATTGGGCTCCTTGCCAGTCATCTTCTTTACAAGCTCCTGAACAGCAGGGATACGTGTTGATCCCCCAACAAGAATCACCTCATCTATATCTTTGAAAGAAAGTTTTGCATCCCTCAATGAATTTTCCACTGGTTTCTTGAGCCTACAAGACATGTACATCATGATGTCATAAACTGATCTTATCCATTCCAATATGAGAACATTAAAAATAAGCTTCAGAGAGAATGGACAATAACTTAAATTGTATAGTCAGAGGTACCTATCAAGCAAGTCTGAACATAATTCCTCAAACTTGACTCTTGTAAGGGTTGTTTCAATGTGTTTAGGACCATCTGCAGTGGCAGTAATGAAAGGCAAACTGAACATAGCAAATGGTATTAGTTAGAAATGGAACAAACGGATATGTAGATCCAAGCAACATATGTTCGCACATTTGTGAATGCACAGTGCACACACGAACATGCACACAGAGAGAGAGAGAGAGAGCATGCCTGATGTTTGCCTGGGTCAAAGAGGACAACTCCATTTTAGCTTTCTCAGCTGTCTCAGTTAATCTCTGAAGAGCTTGTTTGTCTTTCAAGAGATCTATGCCTTCATCTCTCTTAAAATTTTCTGAAAGCCAATCAACAACTCTCTGCAAGAGAAATAGGATACTTAAAATTTTCATCACTACAGTAATTAAAATAAATAGTAATGGAGATAAAAAAGAAAAAAGTCAACCTTATCAAAGTCATCACCACCCAAATGCGTATCCCCAGAGGTAGAGAGAACTTCAAACACTCCATCACCAACCTCAAGCACTGAAACACATAAGAATTAATAAAATAACTTAGTCATCCCATGGATTGTAATTTTCTTCTAAAAAATAATTGATGATAAATATGTTCTGAGACAGCAAAATACCTGAAACATCAAATGTACCACCACCAAGGTCAAATACTAGGATCGTTTCATTGTTCTTCTTTTCAAAACCATACGCCAAAGAGGCAGCAGTAGGTTCATTGATAATACGAAGAACTTCCAACCCAGCAATGCGGCCAGCATCCTTTGTGGCAGTCCTTTGGGAATCATTGAAGTAGGCAGGGACAGTCACAACAGCTTTGGTCACTTTATCATTCAGAAACTTTGAAGCATCATCTACAAGCTTTCTCAAAACCTATATAACAAATTAAGTCAAGCATTAGGAACCTAAAATAAGTACTTTCCTTACATTACACAAATCCCCATTTTACTGTACCGGAGATAACAATAGAAAGAAATCTTAAACCTCAACAATTCCGTTCATTATCTTCCTATTCATAAGAACCGTATAAATCTGCTTGATGTATGATAAACAATACAAGTTAACCATAAATTAGAACCCAAAATAAGCATTTTAGATCAATTTCATGAACCAAGAACCCAGTATGCCACCTAACACAACAACAATTACCCAGAACTTCCTAATTCCCACAATTTAGGATATGTCTTCTTTTCTCAGAGAACAAACTACGCATAAAGACAAGGTAAACCCAGCAGTACCTGAGCCGAAATCTCCTCGGCTGCAAACTGCTTGCCAATGGCCGGACACTCAAGCTTGACATTCCCGTTTTCATCCCTTACAACCTTGTAAGAAACCTGCTTCGACTCCTCGTCCACCTCGGACATCTTCCTCCCAATGAACCTCTTCACCGAGAAGAAGGTGTTCTCAGGATTCACCACCGCCTGCCGTTTCGCAATTTGCCCAACTAATCTGTCCCCATTCTTAGTGTATGCCACCACGGACGGTGTCGTTCTCTGCCCCTCAGCATTGGTAACAATAGTGGGCTTCCCACCCTCCATCGCCGCCACAGCAGAATTGGTGGTTCCCAGATCGATACCAACCACCTTCTCGTTTACCACCCGCAAAGGCCCCACTCGCCTAGTGGCGTTATTCTTTGACAACCTAAAAAACGCCGGCGACATCTTACCAATTCTCTGACCGAAGAAGACTGTTCTTGGTGAACTATGGTTGGGTTTTCTTGTTGAAGGAAACCCAGTTACACCAAGGACGTGGATTTGGGCGGTGGAAAAGGCCATTTCCTTGAAGGAGAGAAAGCAGGAAATCGAAGGAATCAGTAATTGATTGCGTGGTCCAGGAAGAACAAAGAAAGGATAAAACCCTAGTTCCAGAAAGTACAGTGGTGACGAAGGTCGAAGATAAGAGAAGCCAAGAGAAGGGGTTTTAACATGTGACGTTTTTAAGTGGCTCGTGCGGATCGTGCGTGTAGTGGAGGAATTCTAGAATCGTCTATGGGAATGGACCCATTAGAATGGAAACATCGAGGTGTTTGTGGATTTCGGGCTCATGTAAGGGGACTAACCCAAAAGCCCCAAAGCCCAAAATTCCAGTATTCTGGGCTGAACTAAACAGTTCCAACTGGGTCTGGTTATTGCCACGCGACTAATTCTAATAATATTAGTGTTGATGGCACGAAAAACGTATTTGGTTTCTTTTAAATTACCATTTTCCCCATTCAATTGTGAAATTCAACCATAATCTTTTTTTTTTTTTATTGCTGTTTGAGCAGCTTCACAAAACTCATATACTGTTGAGATTTTGAACTGTTTCACTATCTAAAAATCCAAGAAAATATTTTTAAAGAAAACACTCTAATATTTTAGTTAATAATATTCAATTACTTTTTTTAAAACATCTCAAAATTAAATATTACAAAAAAAAAAAACATAAGAATTATTATCTTTCATATATTTATAACCTTCATTTATAACGATAATGCCACATCCCCTACTTAGTTGATTTACATGTCATTAGTCGCGAGGTGGGTCATCATTGCTTGTCGCTGCCCTTGAGTTTTACTTTGATCACTTAGGCCTTCTGCCAATGTTGAAGTTATTCCCTAACAATTGTTTTTGTTTAAAAACTGCCCACCATCTCGGATCAACGTCGGCAAGCAAACAATGCCCAGATCTTGTCTTGAGGCTAAGAAGGAGCTGATGGGATGAGGCATCCACCGTGCGTTGGTGTTGCGATGGGGATGGAGAAGACGACAGTGAACTGATAAAAACGCTTAATTTTTCGTGGCAATAACCATGCCTTGATGCCTGTGCCTACCACTGCAAATCTTGTTGAAGCCATTTAATACAAGAGAAAAAAAAAAAAAAACGTTTTAAAAATTAAAATATCATTAAATCTCCTTCAGACTCATTAATAAAGTTAAAGTTAACACGAACCTATCACGGTTATTAAATATATAACATAATATGAATTCCAACTTTATTACATTTATCGATGTTGTCATACTGGATGCCCTAAGCCCCTGGCATTTTGGTTGACTTTCGCCATTGATATGCCGTAGCGGTTGGGAAAAGTAGCCATAACTTCTGACAATGTAAATAAAAATTAGTTTAACGGGCTTACTCTT